TAGACTTTGGATGCGAAAATCTTAAAACTGTCAGGGAGAGAGCAGGGAAAGTGGAACTTAGAAATTCTGACTCTAATACTATGTTAAAACACAATTAACTTATATTGTTTGAAGGGTATAACCTAATAAATATTTTGTTTCGACAAAATATATGTATGTTCATGTTCTACCCTCTTTCATAATTGTCTCAAGGAACCAAAACCTTGTAAGACAAGAGCGATTTAACACTAACACGGTAAGTTCTTTTACTTCCTTATGTAGATAGGAGAATTGAAATCAAAGCAACATGAGGAGAACTCAGAGAGCAATGCCTCCGTGAAAGAAGAAGCAATGTTGTCTGAAAACGAGGACAAAGTTGTGGAAGACACTAAGCCACCCACAAATTCTCTCTCTAAACGTGAAGCTGCTGAACTGAACTACAAGAGCTTCACCACCAACAACTATAACAACAATGGAGTAGTCGGAGACTCGTTGCTTCCAGATTTCAAAGATGGTTCTTCTGATAGCGACTCGAGCGCGATCCTGAACGAAGAAAATAATAGCCCAAATGCTGCCATTTCTTCATCTGGGGTTCTTCAGGGCCACCAGTTCTTGATCTCTAATGAATCTTCAATGCTGAAATTCAACTGTTCTTCGTCATCGTCGCCTTCATCGATGAATTGTTTCCACTTCTCAGAGGCAAAGTCGATTCTTGGGGATGATGCCCAGAAGGCGTATCTGCCACAGTTTGTGAAGATTGAGGAGCACAATTTTTTCGGTGGGGATGAGTCCTGTAATTTCTTCTCGGATGAACAAGCTCCAACTCTTCAATGGTACTGTCCCGATCACTGGACTTGAAGGTGAAAAATTAAAAAACCCAGATCAAAGAAGCTGAGAATAAGTAAGAGACGCAAAAGAAAAAAAAAACAGAAATCTATGGGGGCTACAAAAATTTTGTAAATCGAAAAGTGGACCACTAGAGTACATGCAATGAAATTTGCTTTCTCCATTGTACAAAGTCAAGTTGCAGATAAATGGGTCAGTGCAGAAGATGAGATAAAAGAGAGGAAAGAGAGTGATTCACGTGGAGGTGTGGTGGCAGTTGGACTCTGGGTTGGGCTATAAGCAATGGGGGAATGAATGATAAGGTAGTAATTAAGCTTTCAGTCTCTCTACTGTTAAAGAAGGAAAAGCTTTGAACTTGAATTAAGAATAGCTTATAGTAGTTGAAAGTGTTTACCCTTTGTGTCATTCTATTACTAGAAAGAGGTTAAAATGACTTTCAATGTGTATGTATAATTAGGGAATTTTTTCCACCAACTGTCGAATTTTCTTTTAAAAAAAATAATAATGTTATATTGATCAAAATTTAGAACTAAATTTTGAGTTCAAAATAGTTGATTTGAATTTTTTTTATTGGTGTTATTTGATTGGTGTTATGTCATTTGAGTTTTAAATTTGGTCTCAAATTTTGATCAACGTAACATTACTCAAAAAAAAAAAAAGGACACGTAATGCATTGAAAAATTTTCTCTTTCCAATTGGATAGTTTGTAGTCTGAATTGCTGCATGGTATGTGGCAAATTGAATGCAATAGTAGTAGACTTTACATTTACCAAAAGGAGAGCAATGAAAGTTACAGAAAGATCTTTTGAATTACTAGTGTATATGCTGAAAAAACAGTAGGAAAAGCATACAATCAGTTTTGTTTTTAATCAATTAATTTCAACAAATAATAATTACTCGTATTTTTTCGTGATTTTTCTCTATTTTTAACTATTTTTAACTATTTTTCCCTATTTTTTTGCTAAAAAAATAATAAATAATTATTTTATTGCACAAAAAAATATAATAACTATTTTTCACAATGTTAATAATTATTTGTTTGCATTTTGATCGGTTATTTCAAAAGAAAATGAGTTTTGCTTCACAAAACCCCCATTATGACTCCTCGAGCAAAAGGATGTCTGTTCCTGTCACTATGAATTTGCTTCCTAATGCTATTATAGGGGGGGGTGAGGTCTCTGAGGGGCTTGGTCCTCGGAGGTTGCCGCATGCCTCCCCCGACACACCCATGCACTTGCACGAGCACACCAACGTGCATTTCCTTTTCCAAGTCGTGGCACGCCGGTGCCGGTGCCGGCGCCGACGCCGGTTTTTTAATTTATTAATTATTAAAAAAAAAAAAATTAAAAAAAAAAATTTAAAAAAAATTAAAATTATTTCCCTTCACTTGAGTATTAATTATATTCACTTATTTTAATTGATTATTTATAAAAATAATTATTATTTAATAGCTAAATTCATATTATGACTCCTCGAGCAAAAGGATGTCTGTTCCTGTCACTAGGATTTTGCTTCCTAATGCTATTATAGGGGGGGTGAGGTCCTTGAAGGTGCCTGCGGGGGGCGACAAGGGGGCTGCCGCGGGGCTTGCCTAGCACACCAGGGACCCTTGCCTAGCGATATGACATGCCCATTTGTTCTCCCACCCCCCCTAGGTGGATGTCGGGGGCATGTCGTGGCGCGGTGGCATGGTGATCGGTGGTGGGCAAGCCGACATAATCGAGCTCTAGCGTGTTGTCACCGCAAGCAAACGTAGGTCGGTGTTGGTCCCATGGGAGCAACGAGTGGGTGCTTGGGGGGTGGGTGTGCCTAAAACTCCGATGATGCCTAGCAATGCGAGGTGCCTGTCCGTTCTCCCACCCAATCGGGTGGATGTCGGGGCATGTTGCTGAGCGGTGGCGTTGTTGGGGCATGTGGCATGCTGACCTTGTCATGTGCCTATATGCGGCACCCATGGGCTCAACACCGACCGAAGTTGGGAGCAAGTGGGATTCTGAGGCCGGGCTTTCCTAGAACGCCGATTGGTAATGCCTAGCAACGCGACATGCTTGTTCGTTCTCCCACCCACCCGGGTGGATGTCGGGGGCATGTTGCAATGCGGTGGTAGGCTATACAAAAAGGCAAGCTTGACCTCGGCTCCCCCTTGTTGCCCCTTGCAAGGGCCTCCAAGG